GCCCCGCGAACTCGGCGGTTGCCCGCGCGGTTCGGGGGAAAGAGAGTGAGAGAGTTGGAAAATTGTATGGAAGAAGCGCATAGTACGCGGCCGTCCTATAAACGCGCCGTAATTTCAAGGCGTGGGTGTCGCGCGTCGATAATTTCTCGCGAAACGGGGACAGGACACACAGCAGAGTTCCTCTCTTCGTTCACCTCTCGTCTTCTCCGCTCTCTGCTATCTCGCTCTGTGAGCCTGCCGCGCTTCCGCCGTTTCTTTCCCTTTTTGCGCCTCGATTTGTCAGGGGTATTAATCGCAAACGCGATAACGTCGCTGCTCGTGCTTCGTGCATGACAAACGACACCGATATGGCGTGCCTGCGCGAGTCCCGCCGCGCCGTTAAAACGGAAGAATGTATTTATTCTACGTGTTTCATGAGCTTTCTACAAATTAACTTTCCGCGGAAATGGATGGGAAGAAGGAGACGAGAGAGAAAGGAGAGAGTGACCGAGGCGAAAGGCGAGGACGGCGGAAAGTGCATCGAAAGTTTCCCGTAATCCCGCCACGCGTTAAAAGAAAAATACAAAGCGCTCGTATTTTAGCAAAACAACAATAAAAATAAGTGTAATAAAAGTCAATATATGTATTTCGAACAAAATTTGATGGTAAAAATATATTTAAACAGAAAATTAAGAGATTTAATACGATATAAATTAAACATTTAAAACATACATAAAAGTGAAACGTTCTGTTCTCTCTTACAAAGAGATTCTTCAGTCGCAAAACATAATAACAATATAATAAAAGAAGTTAAGAGGCTGTCATGATAAAAGTAAGATAACGTTAACTGAAAATAAAATATTTCTTCCTCATCTTCCACGAAGAGAGTGCACTCCTATCTGGAATAATGTTTTTTGCTTGTTAGTCGTCAAACGGTTGATGTACAATCTGGTCTCTCTGAGTCATACGGAATAAAAAGTAGAATTAAGTCCGCGTGGTTGTTATCTTATTAACGCAAATAGTCAAATGCCCACGCGCCACGCGGTATCCAATTATTCCGGAAATCACGTACGCCTCGTAACGTCTTCAATTATCCGATCTCGCGCTGGAATAGAAATTTACGGAAAAAGTCTACGGAGAAGTCCGGACCGAGGGATGCGCGCGGAAATATTTATTTACAAAATGCCCCGACTCATTATGAAAGTCAGCGTGCGCTCATTTAACCTCCGACACGTCGAACGCGTTTTAAATGCATAAGCCAGAGAGCGCGAGAGTTTTCCGAGACGAGAGAAGAGAATGGGGCTGTTTTACGCTGCAAAACGCGCGCCCGACGACCCCCTTCTCGCAAATTAGAAAATCTCTCGCGCTCGAGCGCACATCGTTGCACATCGCGCGATATTTCCATCCGTGTCGCGACGACGCCGGTTGTCAATAAGATTTTTGGTTCGCGACGGGGAAAAAAAACGTAAAAAAGCTCTCACCGTCTTCGGTGTTGTTATCAATATATATGTACGTCTCTCTCTCTCTCTCTTGTCGCGGATTGTTTTGCCGAGGATGAGCTTCGCGTCCGCGTTGAACCGAAAGAGAATACTCGTAAAATACCGTCACAGCGAGAGATTCGTCTCGACGAGAAAACGACAGATGAGGACGCGAGATTCTCCGCTCGGCGCACAATTCGCAGTCCGATGCACCTGCAGCTGCGTGTGACGCTCGCGTGCTCGTATTTTATAAAACATTTTTTCTTTCTCTCCTTGTGTGTACCTGCGCCAGCCCGAAACTTCCTTTTCGCACATATACACACTTGAAAAACCCTTCACGTGTTATGCCGCGTGTAAACGAAAAGCATCTACATAAACCCGGACGGAGAGAGAAAGAGAGAGACGGGAGGGGAGGGGTTGGGAGAGAGGGCGGGAGAAAAAGAGAGTACAACTCGCGAGGTGCACGAGTAGCACGAGGATATTTTTCTCCGCTAACTTTCAAGCACCGAGAATTTGAATTCGCGCGCACGGCCTACCCCCTACGAGACAGTGAGATTGCCGCAGGCGCTCGGAAAAGCCGGAAAATCGTTTAAGAGTAAATGACGTTTTATTAATGGCCCTCTCGGGTCCAACCTCGTAACTCCTCCGCGCGTGAGTTCTCTCGTAGGAAAGGCAAATTTAGCATGCGACGCGACCGAAAGTTTTAGCGCAACCATGAGAAAAGCGAGATGTCCAAAGAAGAAGATGACAAAAAATGAGAAAGAGAAAGAGAGATTGATAGAGAAAAAAAAATAATGAAAAAACACACCAATGAAAAATGAACAGTCGCGACTCGCGCGAGTGAGCCGCCTGTCGCTTTTTGTTCATTTTCAATGTGAATTTAGCGACCGACGCGGACAAAGTTTATCTTTATTGGCATAACCCACGGCGAAGAGATGCGCCGCAGCTCCGAAACCGCTCCGACGATAAGGTTAACGTCGCCTGTCGGTTAGGTCGATGTGCCGTGAAAAGCAGTAGAACTTTCCCATCGGGTGACACGACCCTCTGGCTTGTCTGGAGATGAGGTGAAGGGCCGGAAAAGGCGAACGAACAGGCCGATCGACTTTCGTCTGCCCCGATCGGGAACGCAGTAATCCCAAGACGGCGTTTGACCCCGTCAAAAAAGAGATGGACGTTTGTCTGACGAACTGTAAAACCTGCTCGTGAAGGTTTTCGTTGCGACGATAATAAAAGCCACGGCAGAGATGTCCGTCCGGATTTAGATGTTTATTGTTTTTTATAAATAATGTTCCAAGTACCTTTTATATATGTGCGAGAAACTATACGTGTAACACGAAGATAAATTAGATTCAACGTTAGAAGAGAGAGAGAGAGAGAGAGAGAGAGAGAGAGAGAGAAAGTTTTCCAACAGCGCGCGCGAAGAGATGTGGGCGAGGAGATAAGACTCTTGAAGCAGTGACGACATGGATGGGATCAGTCGATCATCGGGGAGAGAAAAGTTATATAATTTAACCGAAATACCGTTCATGCAAATTACCGTTCGCGGTGTCGTGTCTAAACTTGCGTGTTGCGGAAACTTACTTTCAAAGATGTATAGTTAATTTCGATGAAAGGATGCGGAAGCTGAGAAGGCGATATTTATCTAGATAAACGTCCAAGTGCGGACCTTTATCTAAACCTTTTTTGTTTATTATTCATGAATTATACGGCTGCCGATCGAGAGCTGTCTCTCGCGGTTTATCTCGATGAACTTCCTCGCCATTTATTTTCCGTGTCTCTCACTTATTAACGAGAACGAGTTTCACAAATCGCGACGTGTAAATATTACACGCGCGCGAATTGTGTAAACAACAACAATAAAATTACGCGCGAGCAATAAAGTACACGCGTGTAAAAAAAAGAAAAAAAAACAAAAAAAAAAAAACAAAACCTGCACAGTACTTTGCGCTTCGATGGTATTAAACTTCTTCAATTAAATCGAAATGGGACAAGATCAGGGACACGATTGTATTGTCTAAACGTCTCGAAGAACGAGAACGCTGATACGGAACGTTCTTCTCCCCCGCGTTTCGCTCGAGGAGAGCACGAACAAAAGCCGTGTTTTTTTCTTTTCTTTTTTTCTCCTGTATTAAATAGCCGAGCCCACTGCGCATCAGTCTCCGGGGATAAGATTCATACCGTAAGCGGCTTAACATTTGTCCACGGCGAAGCGAGGTGGAGCCCCCACGTGGGGAGAGGAACGGGGAGAGAGAGTCCTAATACATTTCCGCCATTCCGTTCCAGGCGGTCTACCTCAATTTCAACGTTGCATATTGCATAGATACTCCGGGCCGCGATACCCCGGGTAACATTATTTAACATGGTGTATGAACATATATATCCGTGCAATTATACAGATTGTTTTTGTAAAAATTTAATTTTCCGCACAGATGTAATTGCACATTCCCGGAGAGGGATACGTGTGCAATTTGCATTCCCCGTCCGAAAGAGGAATTTCTTCTCTCTTCTCTCGTCGCGCGTCAGATTTTCGCCTTTTTCAAAGGGCATCTTGCTGGAAGGGACACGTTGTTTCCGGTCGAAAAAACTTGCAATACGTGTGCGAATATACCATTTGAAAAGAGAGAGAGAGAGAAAGAGAGAGAAAAGGGTTTATGGAAAAACGGGGCTTAAATATTGAGTGTGTACGCTGGAAAGATTAAGATACCAAAAATCCGACGGGGGACTCATTAGACGAGACCGCCGCGCGCGGTTAAAATCTGCGCGTTAAAATACAAGAGAGAGAAAGCGCGAGAACAAGAAGCAAGAGACGAGTGTAATATTTGAAATTGTCTGAGAAACTCAAGAGAAACACATATAGAGCGATAGTAGTAGTAGAGATAAAGGAAAACGGGGCCGTTGAGACTCTTCGGAGCTCTTTAATGATCATTAACGAGAGCGCGCGGATGATCGCGGCTGGGAATCTCTCCGGTGTGCGACCTGACACGCGACGAAGTGAAACGCGACGTTTGAAGTTTCCCTTAACGGCAGAAAGACGGAATACGGTTCCCCGAGGTCGCGCGCGCACCATTCATCCTTTAGAACCGAAAGAGCATAGCGACGTGTAAGAAAGCGTGAAATTTGTCCACGCTTGTGAGACGAGCGGAATAATCGCGGATCTCTCTCGTCGTCGCGCGTAGGACATGCAGGAAACGACGGCGATACGGAGGACGACGCGAGCACGACGGGAAAAAGAAAAGACGGGAGAAAGGAAAACGGAAGACGCGGAAACGAAGAAAGAAGAGAACGAAAAGAAAAATTTGGAACGCGGTGGTGTACAACGGCGCGGTGAGGCGCGCGGAGCGAAGCGGACGAGAAGCGTGCAAAGCCAGTGCGCGCGGGGACGGAAGGCGGCAGCGGAAAAGGCAGAAGGCCTCGAGGAAGGAGGAGGCTGACTGATCGCCGCCGGAGTAGAGGAGAGAGAGCACGCCTGCGCGGAATCCCCGGGCGGGCGCGGGCAGTGCCACCGGAGGCCCGGCGGTTTCAGAGCTTCGCCCGGGACGACGAACCGCGGACGAGCCGGAGTGCGGGAAACGCGGTCGCGTTTTGCAGTACCGCCGACAGATTCGCACCGAGTAGTCCGAGTGTCCGTTCCCAAACGGGAGATACAACCACGGGGGTATCAGAAAAAAAAAGAAGAGAGGGGGAACCGATTGAGCGCGGGTGGACCGCACTTCGCGTGACCTTGGTGCGCGCGACACTTCGCGTCTTCCTCGGGAGTATAACAAAGAAGAATCGGTGCCCCTTCCGGGTGCAGAAGGTTCGGTGAACCCTGCGCCGCGCGGGGTCGCGAAGTCTACGGTATAATAAAATCCCCCGACCTCGATTCTGCGTCTCGAATCTGCCCGCGTTTCGAACCCGCGCTCTCACTCTCTCCGTGAGACATCCGCGCGTACACCATCCGAGATAATGTGACATTACAGTGACGGAGGGAAAACAAAAACCCCCGGGATAAAACCGAGATAAAGCAAAAACATACACACAACAAGTTCGGTGCGTGCACGACGAGAACGCGCGAGGGAAAACAGGGTTGTGCAACGCGAGGAAGGTTGCAACGGCGGGTAACGCGAGAGTATGCGCGAGTCCTGGTAGCACCGGCTGGAGGATGAACGGGGCAACGACGGAGGATTATTATCATTAGGTTGGAAGGAAGCGGCGAGAGAGACAGCGGTGCAGAGACCGGGTGTTGTTCCATGCGATGTCAGTGGACCCGTCGTCGGGGACAGTTACGTCGTCGTCGCCGTCGTCGTTGTCATCGTGAACAACATGCGGAGATCCTCCTACGTTAACTACTACGTCCTGTGCCTCGTGTGCTGGATCCTACTAGGTATCACCGGTAAGAGCAGCGCGTCTCCGGGGAAAAGGGAAAGAGATCGTCGAAGATGATCGCGCGACTCGATACGACGTTATAAATGCGTGCGTTTACGTCAAACGCGACGCGAATACGCGAAACAGATGGCGGCTTCGGGACAGTTGCGGACCAGGTTAGGATCTAGCGGGATGAAGACGTTGTCACGCGCTAAGTGGTCATCTCTCGACACGCGACGCATGTTACGTCGCGTTGTGATCAAGCCGTCGATGTCGTCACACGCAGATTGCGGGGAGGCGGGGCTCCGTGGAACTTGTGCCGCGGATGGATCGATCAGATTTTGGGGTGTAGCAGAGAGACGTACGTACGTTGCATACGTCTCTCTGTCTCTCTCTCTCTCTCTCTGTCTCTCTCTCTCTCTCTTTCTCTCTGTCTTTCTCTGTCTCTCTCTGTCTCTCTTTCTCTCTCTCTCTCTCTCTCTCTCTCTCTTTCTCTCGCGCGCACCGCATGCACAGAACGCGCGCTCCGACCAGCGTATAACGGGTGCGCGCAATTTTTGTCCGCGGGTCCGACGAGACGCAACGTGGAGAGATCTCGCGAGGATCGAGAATACGCGAGAATAGATAAAGGAAAAAGGGCGGAAGACACAACTCCGAGAGGGCGGGAGAGAGAGAGGGAGGGAAAAAGGGGGGACGACACAACCTCCGGTCCCGGTCCAGGACCGTATCTAGCGCCACCCTTGTTTGTCGCGCCGCAGCATTGTGTCTCCCTCCGCTCGTCGGTGTCTCCGTTTATCTTTCCCTTCGGCCTCGCTCTCTCAACGCTCATCCACTTTGTTCGCCTCTCTTATGCCCGTCCCTGCGGGATCAGCCTGTCGTCTCGATGATTCCGTCATCGAGAGAGAAGGGGGACGAAGACGAGGAGGGAGACATACAACGGCTCCACGTTTCTCCCCTTTTCTCCGCCGTGGCGTCGTTCAGGGACGTGTCTATCGATTTCATCTCGCGCGGCTGCATCACCGCGATGCGGTCGTGTTTTAAAGACCGCTCGTGAAACAGGAGCATCAAACGACGTCGTTCCGCAGGATGCATTTACGCGTTGTTACGATTACGCGTACTATTTACGAGACGACCCAGCTGTCGTCGGGGTGTCTCGCGAGAGAAAAAAGACTTTTGCCGCGTTTATCGCTATCTTCTTCTCCTTCTTCCTTTGCATTTCGATCGAGTTTTATTGAAAGAAACAAACTTTCTCGCGGGACAGTTTTCTCGCAAACGGACTATTCTTTACTTCTTGTTTTTTTCCTTGGTTTTCAATGCTCCCTCTCTCTCTCTCTTTCTCTCTTTTAAATATATCTATTCTCATAATGGAATGTAATTCTTTCCTCAACAAAAAAAACTTTGAAACTTCTTGAATCTTAATACGATTTTTTTCTCTGTCTCAATTGAGACGCGATCTCTGCAACAACTGTATAGACGATTCCGATATCAACTGTTTAACCTCTTGTTCTTTGTCATTTTTTTTCGCATTATCGTTGCGCGGGTTCGGAATTGCCTGGACTACTTAACACATTCAGACAAACGATCTTCTCGTACGTAGAATTTTCACAGCGAGTTTTTGTGTTTTAAAAACGTGTTTTTTTTTTTTTCAACGTTCAACTACGCGGAGTCGCGCTTGCTCGTGATTTTGCATCTCGCAAAAAATACGAGTGTCGCCAGGAGACAATAGAGGTTGAACTCCGGAGTGACGCGACTATTCGCAAAGAAATAACCGAGTGACGCGCGGTTAACCAGGCCACTGAAAAGATGACCTCGCAAACTCGTCTCTTCGCAGCGAGGCGTGATCAATCCGGGGAGCGCGAGCGGAAAATCTGAAGCGCTGATAAAATCGGATTATCTGCGTGGAACAACAGCGTGTCGACGCGACACGTGTAGGGTCGCGCGCGTGTAGAGCTTGTCGACAACTAGCGCTGCCCCCGAGCGCAATCGTTTTGCATGAGATTTCGCGCTTGTTTGTTGAATAATTTACTTCGAAGAGAGGAGTTTAGCTTCCTCTCTCTCTCTCTCTCTCTCTCTCTCTCTCTCTCTCTCTATCTTTGTCCGTGTATTTCCTTAACTGAAAAGTAACTCCAACCGCTTCTCGATTTCACAAGGAGTTTGAACCACGAGGAGTTCGCTCGTGAGTTGCAGTAAATGGCGAGATTATTCCGGCGTCGTCTCGGCGATGCATTATGCACTTTCCGATCCGCACATATATATATATATATATATTCGCACACGCGGAACGTGCCGCTGCTGCACAACCGTTGATTACACTTCACCGGTGATTAACCGCGTACTGTTCGTTTCCCCGGAAATAGAGAAGTTCGACGCGCTATCAACAAACGGCGGGCGCGCGCGCGGCGGCTGGCTCAACTCGGAGCTCAACTACTTGCTGGCAGCAAATAATTGCGCTACGCACGGATCCTACGCGTTTATTACATCGACGAAACCGCAAGAGAGAAGGGCACTTAGGCAAATTTCGGATGTGCAAATTGAATTGGCGGAAAGCGATGCAACTTGAATAAACTAGTAGATATGTAGGATGCGATGGATGGAAGAGATGGAAACATTTGCATTCCGTTCGAAAGAACGGAACGACGATATAAGACGGTTTCTATTTTATTCTCAATAACGTCGCGTGTTTATTGGAAAGTGAATCGAAGCGCGAATGGGAAAAGGTTACCGGAGAAATGTCACTTTTGTGTCTTTGAAAATAATCTTAGCACAAAGAAGACGGAAGATTCTCACCGCGATCTTGCGGAAAGAGAAAGAGAGCGAAGATGTTTGTATTTTTCAATCACACAAGACAACAATCGGACGTTATTACGAAATCACGTCACGTGTAAGCGGGAAATAATCGAGCGCACCGAAAACTGAGATTTATGTAGCAGTTTTACGTGCGCACGATGACGTCGTAAAACTGCACGGGCACGTGTACGTGTCGTTCTGATAAAGTGTGGAAGGAAACGCTTGCTCTCCTCTGGACGCAGCTCGAGTCCACACACATCGGGTGCCGGCTTTGTCTCTCTCGGGAAATATATACGATTTTAGATCCGCCTTCTGTTTCCGTGAAATTTACTCCTTGCCGTTCCTTTCGCCTTGCGATCACGTTTCGCCACGCTCGATTACACAGCGGGAAGAGACGCGTCGCGGGACAAGACACCGTCTCGCGACTTATCGCCGCGCGTGTAAAGTAGAACAGATTTACAAAAGCAACTTCCTCGGATTTTTCTGTTAGTTCTCGGTCCTCGCGATTTTCTTTCCGCCCGAGGATCAGTTTTACCTCCGATATTCGTTTCCAATTCAAAACCATCTTGTAAAAGGTCCGCTCGCTCGAACGGACTACGATATGACGGAGTCTATTTCATTTTACCTTATTGAATCGAGGTGACGCGCTCCCCCGAGATAACGCGCGGTCTATTTCTCTTTTCAACGTTTCCTTTAAATAATGCACGACGACTGGACAACGCGAATATAGCGCGTCGTCCCGGGCTTTACACCAGCTTTCAACGAAATCGCCGGGACCGACGACGTGGACGACGACGACAACGACGACGCGCGAACGTGATTTTCACACATCCCGTTTCGAAAAGTTACGACGGGGGATCGGCACGGAATCCGACTTACAAAACATCGCCCATGAATAATGCATCCGCCGCGCCGGTCGCGTTTACGTCCGCTCGTTGTCGCATTTACGTTTCAGCGGCACACTTTTTCAGACTTCTTATTAATGAGCTCGCATTAAACTATTACGTTGCGAAATTACATGTTTCGCGTGAGAGTAACGCGTCTCTCGCCGTTATCTTCCCCCATGTCCGATTTAATCTCGCGATAAGCGCGACTGTTACACCCTTCCTCCCATATAAAGGAACTATCGTGACCTTCGTGTAATTTGACTCGCCACACCGCCGCGATGTGAAAAATGCGTTGGGGGTGGACAGAGACAGCCTCGGGCGAGGGCTATTTGTGTCCCCTTTTCAGTGGCAGGGCAAATGATCCCTCAACTCTCTCATCAGGGTGGTATAGCGTCAGCGCGATTGCGGCGCGCGCGTGCGCGCAGCTGCGCAGATTTTACGTCCCTCAAGATCGCGTCGAGTGGATCGGCTCTGCGAGGAGAGAGCCACCACGACAACAGGCCCCATTTCGACGAGAGGGAACTCGTATCTCCGGTTCATTTGACAATACCACATAGACTCGTCGCCATCGACGCCGTTGATTGCCAATCCAGGGCCGTTCACACGGAAGCACGTTGTACAGCAATAGATTGGTCGCAGCAGGCAGGTCGAAGACAAACAGCCAACGACACATCTCCGAGAGAGAAAGAGAGACAACTTGATTTCTCTTCACCACAGAACATGGGGCGGACTTTTCTGTCGCGAGAGAGTGATTATCACTCCATCGATCGCTTTTCAGCGTTATGTGGGTCGTCGCGAATTACACGCATGTAATAATAGCGAGATAATATTTTTTTCTCCAGAGAGATCAGGGAGATAAAAAAAAAAGTTAACAAAAACCTCAAAAGGTGATGGTGAACTTTTTCCCCAATCTTTCTACGCCGTGAATTTTTTATCGGACAGAAGAGAGAGCGGCGATATTTTAAGAAAAAAGCCACCCCGAAATTAAGTGAATCGATAAAAAAAAATTCTGCTTGCCGTTGTTTACCTTTGCCTTCGACTGATTATCCGTCAAGATTAATTTATGATTCATTGCCCTGCATTTACCCTGACTGAAACGATAATTAGCGCCGTTGCGGCGGCTGTGATTTTCTTGCGCATAAGTAGAACAATCGATGCGCGATAAGCCAAGCTCGCGCGGCGAGGGGAGTTTCGCATCGTTACACGGACGATTTCATATTTACTCCTTATCGCGTTCCGTTTATCGCCTCGCCGATCTTAATTAAGCGTAATTATCACCACCTTTGTTGTTTGTCAAAGTTTCGGCAAATCTTGATAGCCGCAACGACATGTGCTCCGCTGTCGTCTTACGTAATTCAAAACTCTTGCGAGGAATTAATAACGTTAAACCCTCGCGCAGAACACGACTTGGCTAATTAGCAGCCATGTTTAATCAACTTATCAAAGTGAAGAAGGGTGGAAGCAATATAAAACGAAAAAAAAAATGCAATATAAGTCCTCGGAAATAATAGAAGACATTTTATTACGCTTTCTCGTATAAAAAAAAAAAAAGCGAAGTTTATTAATTTAGCCGTCTCAGACGCACGACACGGGGGTTCTGTTCGCGAAAAATGGTATTTTCTGTGTCGCACGCACGTCGCAATTCGGGATATCATTTTTCATCATACCTTGTCCGACAATTATTCTTCCAATAATGGTTGCCGCGCTGTAACAACCGTGTAAATCCGACCGCTGGATTTCGCACGCTATATTTCCGATCGGACATCAGATCACGGATGTGATATCGTCAAGGTCGTTGGAACGACGCCCACGTTGTCCACATATATATATATATATATATATATATATATCTTTCCTGATCCGCCTTTAGATTTCCCGGATCAGAATCCCCGGGATTAGTATCCATTTCCCTCGGGTACGGCACCTTGCCGGGGTCTCCGCGATAGGATTTATTCTGAATAGTAGTTCTCGCGCGCCCGACCAAGCGAATACGGCGAACGAATGCGGAATAGGTGCCCATCTCCTGAAACCTGGTTCGGTCTCTCTTGCTTTATTACTATTCCATCGCGACACGCTATAACATCGTCTTCTCCATGTTAATTTGCCGGCATAACGTGCCGGACGACGACGAGCGGTCGTGACGCCGCGGGCCAAGTTGTACGAATATTTTAAGAATGCATCGTCGGTAATTCGCGCGTTTCACGCATTCGCGATGTTTCTGTAATAAAAGAACATTCGCCGCATGTGCCCATCTGCCGCATTGCGCAATTTTTCCGTAAACTAGCATGCGCTAACGATTCGGTGTCCGCTGCGGTAAACCAATTGCGAGACACTTCACACCGAGATGACGGTATTTCCTGTCTTTATTTTTCAGGAGTGAGTACGAGATCTCATTCGTTGGTGAAGAGGTTCGACGGGATTTACACGGGGCCTTACTTCGACTCGAACACTCCAACGAATATCACAGCGCAGTTGGGCACTCATGCCTACTTACCGTGCAAAGTGCGGCAACTCGGCAACAAATCAGTAAGTTCGGCGACACGATTGAAATCGTGAAAGAAAAAAAAAAAAACAGACCGCGATCGTGACTTGGAAAAAATGTGATAAGAAAACCGCTGCTTTTAGTACGCGACATATTTTTACATATCACATTTCACGTAAATCACGCGCTCTGTATTTTTTTTTTTTTTTTCAATCTTAAATACATCTGAAAAAGTATAAAGTATAAATTCCACGTGCACACGTGTCAATAGAGCTGTCGTTGTTTTTTTAAATCCCTAATTTGTCCCCGTCATATCGCGACGCGGGATCTGTGATAGGGAAGCGCTGCTCATATACCCGCGCTGCTTACACGCGCGTATCGACAGTTTTCGATTTATCAACAAGCTTATTTGTCGAAACGGCCGAATTTTACACAATGACATTTCAGTTGAGATGCGACCGCGATCGAAGCTAAAACACAGATGAAACGACGGTTAAATAGTCGCAAACAGGTCGAGCACGAACACTTGCACGGTTGTTCCAATTTCACTTTGTTGCCCACGTGCGGACAAGCTAGATTTATTTACACGCAACTGCTCCCACACACGTGGGAGGTCTCTATTTTATTATTAACAGCAAGCTCCCGGATTATGATCGACACACCAACGTGACACGAGTTATTTTCGTTATCAATCACTCTTTTCATTAACGTCCGCGGCTCGCGCGTTGCGAAAAAAAAAAAAAAAAAAAAAAACACGACCTCGGACAACACGTCCCGTCGACAATCTATATACATAATACACACACACATGTGCGATCTGTGTATTTTTCGCGCGCGTCAAGACTCGCATCATCACTTTTCCTACGTGACGATTATAACCGGCCGAAGATAAGCTCTTGTTCACGTGTCTCGCGTTATTCAATCGCGTGTCGTTATTAAATCGCCCGGCGCGCAGATCTCTTCATCAGCTTGCTTTATCCCCTTCGCTAATAAAACGCCAATCTGCTAAATGATTCGCGCTTCATCCGGTGCTCCCGTAACCCGCATCGCGAAATCCTTTGGGATAACCCGAAAACCGATATGTGTGTGTCGAAGGGGATGGATTCTGCGGGACGTTGCGTCCGGCCGCTCGCTAGTAAAATAAAATCTCCTCGAGCCGACACGCAGGTCTCAAAGGCGATCCCACGCCTCTCTCGTTAGCGAACCTCCGCAACGCAGGCGTAGTGTACCTACTCGTAGTTCTCTCCTCTCGTACCTACCCGGATACTACGACTACAACAGGATGTACTACGCCTGTCGCCCTGTTGACACGCGGTCGACGGACTAAGTATCCGGTAACACGCAACTCTCATATAACCCACGCGCGTACTTAAGGGCGGCCGGCCGTCGTCGGCCGAGATTCTTATCCGTCGGCGAATTAAATATATTTGTACCCTCTCTCTACTCTTCCTTTCTCTCTCTCTCACCTGACCGCCATCTAGATTTCCGTCGAACGTGCGCTCACCCTCGATAGCCGTCCCCGGTCGATGAACGATAAATTAACCGCGCCGTGAAGAAGATTGATCGTCGAAATCAGAACGAGCCAGAATGTAGCCGGTTCTTGGGTTTTTCGTTTTCAAGTGTTTTTTTTTTTTTTTTTTTACACTCTGTATCTCTTGCGCGCCATTGTCCCTCGTACTCTCTCGCTGCCGAGCTTTTTACACGCCCCAACTTTTTCCGCCATTCTCAATGTTCACTCGAACGCGAATAATGACTTTGCAACGGGCCGCTGAGCCCGAGATCGAGCTAACGCAATTAACGGGAACGATAATTGATGAAATTGAGTGTTTTAGACGTACTTGGAACATTTTTACTCCGCGTGTTCTGCGCGTGCGTTTTTCTTATCTTCTCTGTTATCTCTCCGGCTCGTTAAGTAAATTGGAAGACGAGCGGGACAAATCCCTCGTTTGCGAATTAACAGGCCTTTTGAGACTCGTTTCTCGCGAACGTCAAGGATACTTTAACGCGAGTTTATGTTCGGGAAAGAAACCCCGGAGAATGCGAGAACTATGCTTACTTAAAGATGACTTCGTTTCTCCTTGACTAAGGTTTCCTGGATCAGAAGGAGGGACTCGCATATCCTCTCGGTGGATAGAACCATGTTCATCCCGGACGAAAGGTTCCAAGCAATCTCCGGAGAGGCGGACACGTGGACGCTGCAGGTGAAGTACGTACAAGCGCGCGACGAAGGCGAGTACGAGTGCCAAATCTCGACGGATCCGAAGAAGAGTCACATCATCAAGCTCAACATCGTCGGTGAGAAAAAAAGTCAAAAGACATTTAAATATCGACTATGTGTAGGCGTTTGTCTCTCAACTGTTCAAAAATATTTAATTTAAAAAAAATTGACGAAAAATTACGTCGAATAATCGATACGCGTGTTGCAGTGCCAAAGATCGAGATCTTGGGGGACCGTGACATGTACGTCAAGACCGGAAGTACAGTCGCGATACGATGCGTGATAAAGCAGTCCCTCGAGGGTCCGTTCTACGTCTTCTGGTACCACGAGGGAGATCGCATTCTGACTTACCAGCTGAACAAGATCGACATTCAGACGAAGAGAATGGATCAGGACACGGTGAGCAGCCTCGTGATCCATAACGCGAAACGAGACGACTCGGGTAACTATACTTGCAGCCCGAGTAACCTGGATAGCGCGAGCGTGCAGCTGCACGTGCTAAACGGTGAGTGGGACATCAGATCCTGTGAGAATGAAAAATTAATTGCGGCTATAAAAAAAAAAACTACATTTCGGGAACGATTCAGATTTTTTTTCGCTTTCCAAGCCGCGAACTTTCATGTAATTCGCGGTGTTTACGTGAAATTGTAATTTGTGTGTGTCCAAACTTTTTGCCGCGCTTGATTGTCTTTGGAGTTTGATTTGTTACCAGAGAGAGTGTGAAAGTGTATGCGTATGTGTGTGTGTGTGTGTGTGTGTCGAATAATAAAAATAACATTTCGTGGTGAAACATGCAGATTACAGTTTTTTCAACGCTGAGTTTTCGCTCCGCCGCTTGTTATTGTTCGATTAAACGCAAATGCATTTCGGTGCTTTTTCAGGGGAACATCCCGCAGCGATACAGAGAAGCATCAGCTCGGCACCGGGCGGTTATCCCGCTTTGTGGTGGCTCGCGGGCGTGATGACACTGCACTCGAGTTACAGTAATCGCCTGTTCGTCGTCGCTTTTCTGATCGTTATGGTACTCATCCTGGAAAATCCATCTTACTTTGTGACGGTACGATAATCAGGCAAGACCTGGGAGGATGATTGGTATACGTATAAATCGATTATCTCCTGCTACGAGACCCCGACTACCTCGAGAGAAGAGATCCTCGACGTTGCAAGACCGACGATTCCCGGAGGAAGAGACGAAGAACAAAAAAAAAAACTAAAACGAAGGAGGGCGATAGGATTAAGTAAAAGATTGGAGAGCGATGGGAGAGGGAATGAGAGAGATCGGATAGTGAGAAGAGAGAATAACGATTCCCCCCGAAAGGAAGGTAGTGTATCTTTTTTCTTCGTGAGCGCGAAGTACGAGTTATAGAAGAAGAAGAAGTTCATCTCGAATTATCGAGACAGTGATCCGGCCGTTAGAAATTTTAGGGATTAGTTAATTATACGAATTCTTGTTGAATTGTGCTGCGAGACCTATACGTATCGGGTGAGAGAAGAGTCACGAAAATCCTGACGTTGTCGAAAAAAATTTTATGTCGAGCTTGAATAACGGGCGATTTGTGAACGCGGTCGATCATTTATCTTCGACATGAAGATCGGCAAAGTGAAAAATTTTACAATTGCGAAACTATTTATTGAAATATATATATATACATATATATATATATATATATATATATATGCACAAAGAAATAACTTTGTCTAACTGAAAGCAGTTAGACGAAACGAATCTCCGCCTGCATCGAAGAAATTTGTAATAAGAATAATTCCGAGTTTGTTCACATTTCCAATCGTCTCTTTAAGAGAATAATTCGCTTCGAGCCACACTTTCTAAATTGTTTCACGTACTTCCCGTCTGTCGGCCCGACAACAAGGAAGGTTACAAAATCTCAAGGAAGAGAAAAACGCTATAAAAAAAAAAAAAAAAAAAAACGCGCTATCGCGATTGCGAGATCCTGTCGCGAGGGCGTTGAGTGGTTTCGTAGCGTCCGTAATAGGAACAAGAAAGCGCGATAACGTGACAAAAAATATAGAAAAAAAGCCGAGAAATGAGAACGAAAGAACGGGAAGAGAAAAGAAAAGGGTCGCAGAGAGAAAGGAAGTTTATAAGAGAAAGAAACTACCGCGTGCGAGAGAGAAAGACGAAAGGGGAAAAATAAGCACTGTTAAAAACACTTCGTCCGCGCCACTCGAATAGAATTGAAACTTGTTCGATGAGAATTTTCGAAATGCGATGTGATTAATTATATTCGATAGCGACCGATTATCACAGAAGCGTGTCTATACTCGACGTACGATACCATGTACGACTTCGGGATCGTTTTGAGACCGAACGATCTCGGCCGTTGTCATTTCGACGATTCGCCGATATTTTGCGCCGAAAGCAATATAAAAGATATTTTGAAAATATTTTTAGTTTACCGACCACAGCGAGAGCGACTCTATTCTCTGTAATCGAGACTAATTGTAGTTGAAAAGTGAAGAATTAAAAAAAGACAAACGAGAAAGCACAGAAAACTCAAGGAGGGCTTTTATTGGCTGACAAAACCCGTCGACGTTTATTGCTGCTAACAATAACGTGGTCGTATTCCAAATGCAGCTACATTTGATCCGAAGAGAAAAGAATTCATATCAAACGACATCTCGCCATATCAAATATCCACAGAGTCGCGATAATCTCGCGATTTCGGCGCAGAAAGAAACGAGCGGTTGAGAAATAATTTATTAAAGCCGTTTAAGTTCTCTCTTTTGCACGAAGAGAGGACGTTTTGCGCGTCCGAAGTTTATCGATCGGAAATAAAAACAAAACGAGATATCGCGACGACGAAAAAAACCGATCACTGCCTTTTATAAATAAATAAAATACCTGACCCGTTCCAAAGGCGATGAGCGTCTCGAGACGATCTCCGTAAGAAAACAATCTTGGTACTAAAACGCATTGAGTATACACACGCCGATCGAAATATATACGATACACCCGTACATGCGCAGAAACTGATTCGTCGCGGGTCGCATCGTGCGGACCGACGCATTTTCCACTGACTGCTCCTCTATGCGTCGCGTCTCAATGTCGTGGAAATACCGTGATTTTTTTGTAAAAGACGAAAAAAAGAAAAACAGAAGTCTCGAAAGACTCTTTTAGAAATTCAAAGGAGAGATTTGTACACCTCTAGTGGTATTTGCACAAAAAACAACCTTAATACTCTCATAAAATACCATTTTTATTCTCTTCTCTCGAGAAGTTCTTCAGACTACAACTCCCCCGTTTTTATCGCCCTGTTTTTTATCGCGCGATTATTCGTCTTCTAAAGACCGCCTGTTTTTTACAAAATTTGTAAAAAAAAAAAACAAAAAAAAACAAAACGTAATACATTCGTAACGAAACAATTTCACACACGTGTTCCAAGTCCCGATTCGATTCTCGTGTTCGATGCATTTTTTATGACTCATTAATAATAGACAAAAAGATACTTTTTGGTAGATATTTTTTGATAGAGATTAGCGTTATTTCCACGATAAGTTCTGACCCTCTGAGCATGATCGGTTGTGCGGAATTTAGCGAACGAGCGTACGGCTTTCCGGCGGGCGCCCGCGCGCGCCCCCCGAGAGAATTTGCTTTTTTCTCGCAAATACTAGAGAAATACTGTTTTTTATATAATATTATATATATAAATAAAAAAAAAATATATAAATATATATACAAACGAACAGAAAAAAATATATATATATGTATATGTGTACGCGCGCAAATACGTTGCACATGAGCGTTGAATATTGAACAAGTTTCAGCTCGCAACGAACGAGGGGCGCATATAAAGCGAGCGGAGGAACGTGCGTTCTCGTAGAGAACACTTTTTTCGAAGAAAAAAGTGAAAACTGGAAGAGGTGAGCGCATGACTGATTTGAGAAAGAGAGAGAAAGAGAAAAGAGAGAGAAAGAGAAAGAGAGAGAAAATAAAAAATACACAGCGTTGAAAAACACGAGGATAGCGGCAGGAGACGAACGATTCGTTAGAATATCTACGATTCATGTGATTGTAAATAACGTAACATAGCATATAAATACCGTAACGTTAATTAATGATATGCCGTACGTGTTACACTAAAGAAACAAGAAAAAAAAAATAAACTAAATAACGTTACTGTGTAATTTTTCGGATCGTAAAACACGCATTGGAATGAGTCTGGCCGCCCGTGCTAACCGGCTCGGGAAATCATGCTCGGTATCAGATGGCAAAAAGAGGAAAGAGAAAGAGAAAGAGAGAGAGAGAGAGAGAGAGAGAGAGAGAGAGAGAGAGAGAGAGAAAGAGAGAGAGAAAAGAGAGAAAGAGAGACCGACCGATGTGAGAGATACGGCCGCGCGCAAATGTATACGATGCTCCTCAAACACGGAAATCGTCCAAGTTTTTTTCCATTCCGATGAATATTCGCGAACACTTGATATATCTCGCGTGAAAGATAAACGTTGAAAAATTAGGTTTCGCGTCCGGATGAACTCACGGAAAAGTGTTTTCCGCAGTGTGTGTTCTCTTGACTCAATCGTGGAATTGAGCCGTGGGAAAGGAGAAGAAATTCACCGAAGGATCCGGAGGAGGGAAAAGAGGCGCGCCGGAGTGCGTCCGAGTGCGAGGCGGAAAGCGGAGCGCGCGCGCGCGTTCTTCCGTAGCGCGCGCTTGTGGATAGCACGGGCCGGCCACACGCGACTAGATGTAACACTAATTAACGCCTAGCGTAAGAGAAATAACGGATATAAAAATGCAGATATATTGTCGGACATATAAATAGCCCGGGAGTGGCGACTGTGCGCGGCTCGCGAATGTGAAACGTACGACTGGAGAGAAGCTTTTCGGCGTGTGTGAATTTGTTTGCGCGAGAGAGCGACAAAAAGACTGAAAGAGAGAACAGCGCGAAAGGAAATGAGAGAGTGAGAGGAAACAAGTCACATATAAACATACACACGTACATAAATACACACATACATATATATACTTGCATACACACAAGTACACTGAGACAAGTTCGTTGGACTGACGTGATACCAAAGGCGTTGGTCGAATGACACGTTTTAAGATAAAAAGGGTCGATCGGGGACGCGATGCCCTACCCTCTTATATCGCGTTTACCGTCTCTTCTTCTTCCCGCGCCTCGCGAGGTCACTTTCTATGAACGCGGATAAAAAGAGGACTAAAAAACAGTCTTCTGTATGTGTGTGGTCGTCGTAGCCGCGATTAAACTTCGCGACGTCTTTTCTATCTTCTTTTAATCAGGGCCTCCCTCTCGCGGGGTGGAAGAAGAAACGTAATTTTGCACTCGTTCCCGTCGCCCTTTTGCTTCACCGCGCGCGCGTGAAAGAGCGAGAGAAAGAGAGAGAGAGAGAGGTAAAGTAAAACAAAGAAGATAATGAGACGACGTTTAATAGGTGGAAGAAAACGCGCTTGGAGAAAAACGGCGTCTTAAGATCTAATTCTAACATCGTCGTAGTGGAAAACAGCATTGAATTTTTGTACCAAAATCTATTGTAGTTCTTAAAGTGTCGCGTACACTTTTTTCCGTTGCCGCGAGCTTATATACTCTAAATACTTATTTCTCGGTTCTATCTATTGAAACACGTCGCGGGTAAAAAAAAAAAAAAACGCGGGGAGCGAAGCAAATCTTGCTCAAGATATATCTTTTCGCAGGTTCTTCGGTCGCCGCATCGAGGCTCCCGGGACGTCACAGTCGAATTTTCTTCCTCGCAATTTACACGCTGCGTTCATACACAGAGATCAATCAATCTCGCGCGCGTTTAATTTTCTCTCAAGTAAAACTTGTAATATATAGAATTCGATATGTACGATATACGCGGTCGCGAATCGGGAGCTTAATATATAGAGAATCTCCGTGTTCCCCTGACACGCGCGAGGAAAACGCGCGCGCCGATTCCCGAGAGTCGCGGTTACGAATTTTTCGAGGTGAACACTTTGTTTCGAGAGTGATGCTTGTGTACCGTCCTGACAGTATGTCGATGTGCTCTTACGCGTAGATAACACGAGTTAGATGTTTTCTCGAGATAGTAAGCTATATGTGTGACAGAAAGTGAAAGAGAGAGAAAGGGAAAAAAAGATAGCGTTTGAACGATACGACACTGTCGTCAGAGAGAAAGAGAGAGAGAGAGAGAGAGATGAAAGACGGACGGGAGAGAAGAACGGTGACCCAGAAATAGATCTATCAGTCGCGGGGGAGGATTCCAATTCCGACGTGATCCATCCGTGTTGCCGCGCCGTCGAACGATCTCGAAAAATTCTTTGTGAAGAACGACAGAGGATATCCTAGAAATCGATTATACGCAGTTCTGTACGTATGTGTGTGTGTGTGTGTGTGTGTGTGTTGTGTGTGTATGCGTGCGCAAAAAGAGAAACGAGAGAAACAGGTCAGTGGAAAACGATTTCGAGACGAGCGGCGGAACGAAATGTTATCGAGGAGCTTTTTTAGACGCTATAGATATGTCGAAGATCGTAAATGGTGCGAGTAAAGCTCTCCGCGAAAAAGAAATGTATTGTTGTGATTTTAACCCACCCGCCGCGCTCTCTTCGGAGAGCCAGTCGTCTTCATTACGAGACGAGAAATACGTATAAAATAAATTTTTTGCCCAAGATATTTTTGCTCCGTGAAGACGAAAGAAGACACAAGTTCGCGTCTCTTCGTTTCTTTCTCCAAAAGCGAGCGTTTTTATTTTCTCGCGACGAGATGGTGGGTTAAAGAAGAGCGAGTGAAAAGGACTATTTGTTGTCGATCGACACCCTCGGGACGGTGGATTACTTCGTTAACGCGTCACCGACGACATTCACGAGGAATCGCATCGTGCGACTCAAACGATCACCGCACGCGAGCATTGAAGCTCCTGAACGTACGATTCGAGAAGAGATCCGACGGACTTATATATCGCGCGACTTACGTTTACATCTCAATGAATTGTTACTTCACTCAGTGATAAAAGATTTACGCGGAAAAAGAAAACGATTTGTATTGCATCATGACAGGCGAGATACATACAGAAGATCGATATCGTAAATCAGGAGCTTCGATAAATCCGATTGCGAGCAATTGAGTTCGACAACGTCCTATTAGCGTTTAAAGCGACGTTAACGTTCTTGCGTTAACGGGCATTTCGTTGACGGCACGCGACAGATCACACCATAGTAGGGGGTCTAATTAATCGTTAACGCAACACACGTCTGCCGATTCGAACGTTCGACGAAGGCGATTCGCAAAGGTTGTCCGCGGAGACAAATTTAAAGGTTCGGGAAGAAAAAATAAAAATAAAATAAAAAGTGACACTGAATTTGTCGAGCGCGCGGATAAGCGGACATCGATTTAAAATTTAAGCGTAACTTTAAAAAACAGCAGAAACACTTCGAAAATGTTCCTCGGAACACAAGCCTCGTCTTATGGATTCGCATTTTCTCTGTGCACCTTAAGCGCTTTAGGGTTAACGAAAATAAAACCAAAAAAAAAAAAGGAAAAAAACTTTCACGAATCCACGAGATGATGCCGAGGAAAGTGAAAAGAGAGTGACAGAGAGTGAGTGCGATAGAACAGAGCGCAAGTTTCACATGCATGAGCGAGAGAATGTCAGCGAGAATGAGAAAGAGAGCTAGAATACGAGCGAAAGCGAGATAATAAAAAAAAAAAATAAAAAAATAAAAATCAATGTTAAACCCATCAATACCCAGATTCGCAATTTTCTGGGAGACAAAAATCTTCGTTGACCGCCATTTCTACGTATAAGTTCGGTCTATCTGTTATTTCGGAAGCTGGACGCGACGTGCTCCCTCGATGCTCCGATCGCGACCGCGCGATTTTGTTTTCGAAACGCGGAATGTGAGAAAAAAAAATGTATTATTTATCGCGCACACACTCGCCCCTTTCCAGTAAAAAAAAAAATTAAAAAATAAATAAAAAAAAAAACGACCTCACGAGCAGCGATTCCGCACGCGGATGCGATCGGAGATCCATGGAGAGAAATTCCCGTTCGGACGGGAAGATCCTCTTTACATACGAGTTTCAGCGTTTTTCCGTTTTTAAACTATCGGCGAAGCGGGACGAAGAAAACTGTCCCGCGTCTATGTGTGTAAGAACCATAAAGCTTAATAAAGAAAAAAAAAACATTATACTATGAACTTACGGGATACCTAATAAAAGTAAGCCAAACCGTTAAGAACGCGTGAGTTTTATTACTTTCTCCTCCTCTCTTACGCATTATTTAAAAAATAATCGTCGAAAAAGACAGCAAATCTCAAAAAATAATAAAGTTATTATACGATAAAATGTAACACATACCTGTGTATAGTACATTGTGCGCGAACATCAATATTACAGAAGATATTATTATTATTATTATTATTATTATATAGAAAAGATTGTGACGTATATCTAATTGCTTTGGAATGATATCGACTCTTCGATCTCCCGTCTCGGGAATCACAGTGAGGTTTCGAGATCTTACTCGAACTTTTTAATTTGATCGCGCGTCTTTTTGCAACACAAGATAATCTTCTGGAAGGAGAAGAGATAGAACGCGCCGACGATCCGCAAGAAGCCCATCAGTAACGCTTCCAGGAACAGCTGACTGATAGACGTGATCGGTGACATCCCCGCGCACAGCGTAGTCAGAATGAAACCTTCCATACCGATGGTGGAGAAAAATATACCCGCCTATATATACACATTACATGTTACCACTTGATATAAACTAAAAACAATAATTAATTTTCTCGTTCACTGACCAGCGCGTCTCGGAAGAGTTTTTCGGCAACATCCTCGGGCCTGGCCAACGTTGCCGTTTGCGAAATGAGTTTGGTCTCTAGCGGTTTTGATCGTTCCTCAATAGCGTAACCAGGCGTGTCTGTATCCGGAGGCAGACTTAGAGTTACAGAAATGTTGTAAGGTCGCAATTCCATTGCTATGCTCTCCGCCAAACCACGGAGAGCGAATTTCGTACTGCAATAAGCGGAGTAGCCGAAAATACCTATTTAAATACAAAGTTTTTTAATTGACAAAACTACATAACAAGATGTCGATGACAATAAACGGATCTTTATGTACATACCCAGAAGAGCAGCCTGAGATGATGTAAGTACAATTATTCCTTCTTTGGAGGCTTTCATTCTCTGCGCCACAGCCTTGATGCAGTAATAAGTACCCAAAAAGTTTATTTGTATCATTTTATTTAAGTCGTCCGCAGAGGTGTCCTCTATTTTTGCAGCAACTGCGGTTCCCGCGCAATTGACAAGCATGTAAATTGGTCCCATGGTTCTCTCGAGATCGGTTATTGCTTTCTCGACATTCTTGTAGCTCGCACCGAGGTCTAACGACACGTATTCCACTTTTTGCGCATCTTTATCCTCACAAGCGTGCAGTATTTCATTTTTAGCTGCTTCCAACTTTTGTACGTCTCTCGCGATTATTGTAACATTTGCTCCGTGCTTTGCGGCAGTAATCGCTACGCATTTTCCAATACCGCTCGAGCCACCGGTTACCTGAAAACAAAAAAACGTTCAAATTGAGATTTGACATTTGAATGTCATTCATTTTTTAAAATGTTTTTACAAGATTAAAGAGCGTTTTTTCTTTTAGGTTAGCGGCACAAAAACATACTCACCACAACATGCTTGTTTTTAACAGTTTTTAATCGCTTGCTCCAGTAAAGTTGAATAATTATTGCAAAAACAATTGTCAAAACAAAAATGACAATTGCCACTCCAAGCCAAATCCCCATGATTCGTTTGTTGTGTCTCTTTTTGTGACAAAAGAGACGCAACACCTCCGAGCTTCTAACAAACACTACCGAACTCTGAACAACTTCGAACTGAACAACGGTAGTGCGTGATTCAGGCTTTATATGTATAAGCACCCGGATATGTACCGACTTGTGATCATAGGCTTAGTCATCTGCAATCGTCAAGTCAGCTTTCTCACTTCCGCAAATTCTATATAAGGTTGCTAACAATTTTCTAACATCGTTAATACAATTTAATACACTTGAATAACAATATATTTAAATAATGTATCAATTACGACACGCAAATGTTATCTAAAAGGTGATCGAGACATCTTCTTCCTATAGAAACTTCTGAGGATACATCAGATATCGAAACAAACTGAGTTACCGGCCGTTTAAATTCAGAAAACTAAAATTATTCTCTCTCTTTTGACGCACACGCGATTTTTCGCAAAACTTGAAAATCGCACTACGCTGAAAAAATTTATTACAATTTTATTTCTCTCAGTGTACAATTCGTTTCTCGTACATTTGTTTAAACAAAATATTAGTAAGAAATATATTACTATAATGGAAGAGCGGCAAATGGTGCACAAAAGAAGAGCCTCACCTCACATCATCGATCCTGCGCTCCTGGTGCACTCCGGATGTACAGCCGAATAGAAAATAGGCAACGAAAGAAGACCATGTCGCGCACACACAATTAACTTTTCTTGGATTACCTATTTTTTTTTTTTTTTTTTGTATTTGGCAGTGTGAACTTTTAATTATCACAGCTAATTAATTTTACTTATTACGAAAATACTATGAATAACTCTGTCAAAATACAAAATTGTCTCGGTAATTATGGCACAAATGGAAAAGGAGTGATTGCTTACACACAAAAAATAAGTCGAAATAATTGCAAAGTGTAAACATAAGGTTTTTCACGAGGATTTTTCGAGAAAAAAAACCGAGTCTAAAACCTGATATAACATGTTTACAAGTTCTTAAATGACCTCTAGTAACCTCTTGCATCGTGCACACTATCAAACAAATCTCGATAACAGATAGTTTAATATACAAAAAGTTTTCATTAAGTAAAGTGCATTATTCCATTAGATAAGCAAAAAATAATGCTTGTTTTAAATAAAGTACTGTAAAAACATAAATTAATATTAGTGGAGATATGCGTACATGAAAACTTCAGATTTGCTAAATGTATTGTGCTTTATTTATGTATTAATAACTGCTATCACAAAATTTGATAATACGCGACATAACGTTGCACTGAAAGTTATTTAAGCGTAACAAAATGTATGTAAATGCATGTTACGTTAAATATTCAATTTTTTAAATCTCAATTTTCAATTCTCAGGTTTCTTTAAAAGCCACGCGCGCACCTTTGTTTAACATCGAATTAAATAAAAAAAAAGACAAGAAATGTGATATGCAATTAAAATAGCAGATATTATTTTTACATGGTCGAGAAGAGGAAAAAAAACATCTCAAAAAAAGAATATAAGTTTGACACGCAATATTATGCGTGTATTTACACACGCATGCATGAACACATTACGTACACACACGGGATCCAATCATCAATGTAGCCAGAATCCATTACACCGCCAAAACTACGACTCCACAACGATTGTGTTTATAATCTACGGGTTGATAACCCGCTGCAAGATTAATATAGCTCGGCGATCGTGTTACAATGGTCAATGCAGCTCAAATATTGCTATTTTAATATGCACTGAAAATTATATTGCAATTATTTATGAAATATGATTCGCACCAGACTCTAGAGAGAGAGAGAGAGAGAGAAAGAGAGAGGAAGCATGAGAGTTAGTACGCAAGTCCACCGCGACGCTGATGACAACTCACGCTGCGAAGATTTCCGGAATGCGAAACGCATGCGTCAAAAAGTTGCAGGATAAGCTGGACGACTACGTGCATTCACCCCCGTGTTACTGTAGTGCAAACCGCCATCGTCCCCCTTCCCCGCCGCATCCCCGCCGTTATCCTTCGTGCAAAAGGTCACGTACCACCACCCTGTCGATCGTTCACCTCGTCCTGGGACTCGCTCCTGGTAGCCAGGTTAAAGCGGAAGGTACGAAGGATATACGCTCACGCATTCCGTCTCGACTCACGAGATCCGCGAGTTGGACAAATTCGACAGATTTACTCTCGTAAACACGCTGCGCGTTACAAGTCGACTCGGACGGGATGTGCTAATTGAACAACATCGTTCAAACTGTTGTCGCAATTATCTCTTGTACGGTCGGACGGTGATAAAGTTTAATCTTTATATACCGTGTTTGTAATACATAACACAATAAACTGAATTAGCAAAGGGGATACAATTAAGACAAAACAGCACTTAATTGTGTATTACATTCGGTAAACTTGCGCAGTTCGGCGATCTGAAAAAGACTGTGTCAGTTTTGTTTTTTTTTTTTTTTTTCACTTATTCAACTCACGACCGTTGTAGTTTAATTGTTAGACAACATCGAGAATCGCGAGAGCAAATTCAAAAGTTTGAATTTCGCTCAACTTCGATTTACGCTCTGTTCCTCAAAGAAAGGAGGATAATTTTAGCGGAAGGTAATCTCAGATAAGCGGAAGATCTACGATCGTCCGAGTGCGGAAACCTCGATCGGGGCTCGAGTCCTCTCCTCGGAGGAGGAGCCCCGTTAAATCACTCGGAAGAGTCGTCGGCACGGGGAAGGGCTGCGGGCGAGTCATCTCGGCAGAGCGTCGGCCTGGCCTCCCTCGTCGTGCGACGGGGGCTGCAGGAGCTGCCGCAGTCCGGAGCTGCGATTTTGGACACACAGCGAGGAGAGTCAGCGTACATTGCACCCAACAGAAGGGAGTGTCCCGAGCCGGGTGCCCTGTCCTCCCTCGGCCCTTCCAGCGCGTCCGCCCCCGCCCGCACCCCAGTCCTCAACCAACCCCGGCCGGTACCCCTCCGCCTGCCGTGATACCCTAGCTACGACCCTGGGTTCCGTGTCTCCCGGGCTGCACCGGGGGGTGAACGTCCTCGCCTGACCCAGACTCGGAATCGATCTCCATTCGTTGCACGATGTTGGCAACCCCCTCTGACGTCCCATCCACCCCCGTTCACACGCTGCCACCCGCCGCCACCCTTCCGCTGCCGCCACTCCTCTCCACGCGCGCGGGTGAGTGCGCGCCACCCCGTCGTTGTCACACTCGCGGATTTTCCGCGGAAACCGCGGCGTCGTAACCTTAGGAAAAAGCGAGCTGAGTCCCGTGCGGAATCGAAAATGGATGGCGGGAAAGAAAGAGACAGAGAGAGAGAGAAAAGGAGATGCATTTTGCACTCACGTTAAAGTATCAAGTAATGCATGTCGCGTAGAGTAAGGGAAAATGAGGAAGAACGACCATCCGCGCGGCACGTGTCGGCACGCCGTACGGAAGTTGCGGAATAGATGTTTTTGCGCGCTTTATCGCGCGAGCGGTAATACACGGCCGGCTCGTGCCGCTCGCAGAGCCGTCGACGACGACGACGACGACAACGACGACAACGCGAAAGAGATTTTTGCGTGCGGCACACACGCGCAGGAGTCATATTTACTCGATATTCAAAGTAAAAGCACCCTCTCCCTCTCTCTTTTATTCATATCCCCATTGCCGGAAAAAGCTCGAAAACCAAAATCCGATTTTGTTTACGGGAGAGATCCGGATAGAAGATTGGCGAAAATGCGATTTCGCGTCGCGTCCAACGTTTTTGCGTTCTGCGTGACTGAATATCATTTTTCCGATTCTTTGTAAAAATCGAATACGTTCTGTATGGTGTTCTGTATGAAAAAAAAACACGAAGAAGCGCGCATCATATTTGCGGTAGAAATTAAATTTCCGGTCGCTCGTAAAAAAAAAAAAAACCAACAGCGCAACGCGCCGTGTAACTGCGTAGAAATCGCGTTATAGCAGGGAATTCGAATGTCCGATGATGACACGGTATATCTATTCCAGGACTCGTGCAATCGTGAATGCTTTATGAAGTACTATTCCAGTCCTCTCTCTCTCTTTCTCTGCAGTAGTGCCCTACACACCTCTAGAAACATCCATCGTCGGAGTCGTGTTTCTGAAACACTCACCTCGTTCCACGTATCGATCTCGGTAAACTCAAAAAAGAAAAAAAGAAAAATAGTTCATTTAAGGTATATATATATACGCACACGCCGTTCTCGCCCGATCTTACACGATTTGACAGAGAGTTTATTTTCAATTTAGATCGTAGAATATTGTTGTTATAATAAAAAAAAGACATTGAAAATGGTGTCTACTATTTTTTAAAACTGAATTGACTGTTTTACGTCGCGTTGACATCCTTCAAGAGTAAAAATATACTAAAAAATTGCATTACTCTGAGAAAATCTAAATTAAACCTCTTCGCTCTCTATAAAAAGTCAGAGCGTTAATTTCTTTTTCGTGAAAAATGTAGAATATTGCGAGGCGCGCAAGTGTGTGTGTGTGTGTGTGTGTTATTGTTAGAGGAATAAAAACTACACGGTGCGGTTAATTGATCGTTGACCGCATGCGCGACTCCAGAGACGCGATGTCAGAAGGTATCGCTGTAACGAAGAAGTTGCCGGTAGTAAATATACGGAATCGGCGAAGAGTCGAGCGTCTATCTAATATACGCGCGCGCGAGCAAGAAGCAATATACCACATCGGCGGGCTCCGGTTGCAAAATGAGGCCATTTCACGCCCCTTCGTGCATTCCCTGTATACGATGCGTCCCCTTTTTCCACTTCAAGATACGTCAACGCTTTGCGGAACAATCGAGGGAGAGTTCAGTGCACCGTCGTCGGGGAGTTGCCGCGTCTCTCTCTCTCTCTCTCTCTCTCTCTTTGTCTGTCTTCTTCTCCTTTTCTCTTCCTCTCTCACTCTCCTTCTCGCTCTCTCAGGGTGATGTAGAGATTCACTGGTGAGAACGCTTGATTCTAATGAAGTTGCGAACTTTTCAAACCCAAACCGCGCGGGTCCCAAGCGCACCGGCGCGGCCGACAGACACATTCTATTTATTCGAGATGATTCCAATGTTACCGCGACGAAAATAATTCGCGA